TTAATATGTATTAAATTTAAAACAATTAGTTTATAACAATTTTATTTTAAAATGTTGTCTTATAATATAGATAATTATTTAAGTAAAATAATTATTTTAATTAAAAATTGGTTTATGATTATTTAAAATTGGATCATTTTCTTTAAACGATCCCATATAATATTCAAAATCACTTGGCTAGCTAGATTATTCACTAATGAATCTCAAGCCAGTTTGACTAGTTACTAATGAATCTCAAATTAGTTTAGTTACCTAAATATGAATTTATTAATTATACAGCTCGATCGATATACGTAGTCAGGATGTGAAGCGAATCGTTATTTAATAACTACATCAATTATTAAAGTAGTAAACTAATTTAGCATTACGTATAAAAAAGAATCAAGACTCATTTGAATCTTATTGTTGATGTAAAAACAAAAAACTTGACCTTTTAACGAATTAATTATTAAATGTGTTTTTTGATTAAATCAATTTGATTCACTTTACAAAAGAAGAACATTATATGAAGTGAGATGTGTATGAAAAAGATAATGCAATGCACTGATATTTCAACCCCTTTTTTTATTTTTCTCGGTAATTATATTAAGAAAAATTTAAACTTTGTTAAATTATTTATCATAAATGCTTTTTCTTATTTTTCTTATTATTGGGAAAAATAAATATCGGTATTCTTTATCCTAAAATATATATTTATTTCATGATAACTTTGTTCTGTTCTGAATTTGTTTTAAAATAATTGTTTTATGACAACTTTGTCCTAATAGACTTTTGTCTCGGAGCAATTATTTGTTCTAAGACAAGTCCAAAAACTTCATAATGAAAAACAACTAAATATTAGATACTAAAGTAAAAGATTTATTTTACATATATTACATTTTGAAATAAATAACTAAAATATTGAATCAAAAAATAATTAATTAAATAAGTAATACTACATGTCCTAGCTTTTTAATATCGTTTAACTTCAAAAGAATGACCTAAAGGTTTAGATTAATAAAATAACGAAGGAATTAAAACAAAGAAACTAATGTAAAAAATGTGTATTTAAAATATTACAGATTAGAAATATATGTACATGTTTTTAGTTGATTGTTCAGAAAATTGTTTTTATTATGATTCCAATTGTTTTCCAGCCGTCCCCAATACACATTGTACCCACAATTGGGAGCTGAGAAACTTCAAATTTCTTCATTCTCATCTGTGAAATGAATTCCAAGATATCCAAACGTCACTGAACCACTCAAAATATTTTCTTTATACGTTTTCCCTATACTATTTGCATAATCATCAATGGCTGAGAGATGTTCCACAATACACCCATAATATAAATATCGAAAGGTATGTAACTTGCATGAAATGTTCTTTAAAAAGTCATTAACATCGGTCGATATGAAACATTTCCGTGTACAAATAGCAAAATCCGTCATGGATGGAGGAACATCAGGGGCTAGGTTCTTGAGATATTGCCCATCTGCGTCTTCTATCATAATTTCTTCGGTTTCTTCCTCAAAACTTTCTAATATTTCTCCGTCGATAAATTGAAGAGCCTTGAGTTTACGACACTTCTTAAAAAGAGTTTGTATTTGTGGAAAACTAGAATACGTAATTTCCGTGCTTAGCCACTCTAAATTCGGACAACTATTGGCAATATGTAAAAGGTTGTTCGGATAGAGATTTCCATTTAAAGGCAGCGAGAGAACACGTAAAGAGCTATTTGAATTTTTTAATAGAGAACAAAATATTTCCGGAGGTGGACCGTAACGTAGTACACGAAGTTCATTCAATTTACTGAAACTCTCCATTGACAATTGAAAAGATTTTGGTAATTCATTAAATCTGCATTTATCCAATGTTAATTTAACCAAATTCTCACAATTCGCCAGCCAGTTGAGTACTTTCTCCCCGATATCGCATGCACTCAAGGAAACTATTTTCAATGTTTTATGCGAGGTTAAAAGTGATTCCTTCATAATCGTCGCTAATGTTTCACAATTGGTATTGGTAATTGATAGGCAAGTTAACCTTGTTTGAGCGGCTATTAATTCTCCTAACGCTTTTACATCCTTATTTATATTAGCGTTAATATTTCGAACTGCAAGTTGCTCAATCTGTGTGCAAACTTTTGCCATATCTTGAAGAAGATTAGAGCATCCGGAGAAACTTAAAAAGCGAAGATTTCTCAAAGATTCAGCGGTAATCTCAATTTTTATTGGAGAAAATATCACGGGACGTAAAGCATAACGACGAGACTTTACAAAAACAAGTGTTCGGATAGATCTACTTCTCTTGATAAACATCTGAATTAATTCTCGAGCTAGCAAAGCACTTTTAATGCAAACTTTTCGTCCTTCAAAAAACTTTCTTGCTGATTCGTTAGAAAGTAAATGATAGTAATAAACGGCCGACATGTATATTATATAGAAATCCAAGTGATGAATACAAGCTGCGTAATCAAAAATCGGGCGTTGATTTGATAATTTCGTTATCATTGTTGTTGATTTATGAAAACTTTCGTCTTCTAATTTAAGTTTTGTCCTGACTTCATGTGGCAAAAATTTAATATAAACTGGTATTATTTTTGGATTAATTGATGCAAAGGTACTAGACCAAAGAATCGGCATGGCAGTGGCGTTCCATTCTTTGTTAACTAATCCTGCGGATCGAAGGGATTGTCTGGTTGTTAAGTAGTCAAATATGTATTCTAAACAATCTGACGGTAAACGAGGGGCGTGCATTAATTAAGAATAGAGTAAAAAGAGGTATTAAAGTATTGCTATTTGTTTAAGCAGAAGTTTCGCGAGAAACTGAAATGCGGTTTGATAGTACATTATCAATAAAAGATTAAAATTTCATCGTTCGTCTTGATAAAAACCTCGCGAAAGTTACAAAATTTAAAGAAAGCGTGAAAATCTGTCTAAGACAAAGTTAAAATAGTGCATTCATCGAAATAAGTTGCATCAGTTTTGACCACAGACAATTTATCCTTATATAGAAAATCAAACTTTCCTCGAAAATTTTCTTGGTAATTTTGTCTACTGTATTTTTGGTCAGGTCAGCTAGTTTCTCCTGGACTGAACGAAAAAAGGGGAAGCTAAAGCACATGTACGTTACGTATGCAGTTTTGACGTAAGAAACACAAGATCGTATTACATGTACTATGTGTGTACCATAGCGATAGAGCATTCTTTTTCTTGTTTGTTTTGTCTATTGCTAGAAACAGATACATGTAATATAATCATATTTTATCTTTGAAGCGTTCTTTTTATTACTCGAGATAATTTAGTATTGATGTCAAGAATTAAAATAGATCGAATGAATAAAATTTATCATCATTATCGTTATTATTACGTATGTATTTATCCCTTTTGCGTGTGATTTATTTTAATGATATAAATTCATGATATGGGGGTTAATAACAATGATAATGAACAATCTTTAGTTTAGTTTTGATTATTTCGGAATTTTATAAAAATCTGTTCCTTTTAGGGGGTATAAGCAAAATTCATTGATAGAAATTCATTTTTCAAAGAAAAATTTATCCAGAAATGACATGAAACGCTTTATGACGTTACAATAATTTTGTTCTGATTCCTAAAATATTCTTACATAATCCGATTAAAACATGAGCATTCTATACGTATATAGGTATTTATCGTGAATACATACGATTTTGTCAAATACCCAAATTAAGAAAACATTACCAAAGTACTTTATCGTTATCGACATTATAAGTATTTGCACTAACATCAGCCTTAAGATGAATAAGACGAAGCTTTCAATACTAATAACATTAATATTGCTAGTTAATTATAAAAAGTCCAACAAGGAAAATTGATAATAACAAATACAACATAACGATAACAAAAATAAAAATGGCATTAATCTAATTGAATCCTCCAAATACGTAGTATGTACGTATGTGTTTATTTCCAAAAATAGATTAACATTCCAACAAAAACATTGTCATTGTACATGTATAATTAAAAAAATACCCTTATCGTTATGTATCGTCCTTGTCCATCAATAAAAAAAAGAAAATAGTGAATACAATCAGAAGATATAATTAGGAATAGAGTGATATATCATTTTTAAGGCCTGAGCGGTTCGGTTTTATTATCTATACGATAATATATAACGCATTTACTACCTACATTTTTCTTTTTCTCTTAAAACTAATTTTCTGTTTGAAACCGAACCGAAAAACCGGAACGAATCGAATGTTCGATTTTGCTTCGGTTCTACTCAAAAACCGAACCGAACCGTTTGGACCCTTAATAACTTTCAAAGGTGACGTATTTCGTGAATTTGCTTTTTATCTCAACGAAATTGATAAGGAGCTTGGATATTTTGTATGAGTAGTTCGTTCTACTCTGTAATAATGAAAATATTTTTCTTCCATTAACATGCTTCACTAATCAATTTTTTTAGAAATTAATCATAAAGAAATAATAGTGATAGTATACCTGAGTGACGTTGAGCACAACTTCAGAAAATTTCTATACCTGTTAGCAATCGTTTTATAACTATACCCATTGACAATTAATTATCGTTCATGTACAATAAATTCGATTAATCGATTTTCAATTTGAGAATCGATTCTCAACTCAAAATCGATTCTCGAGCACAAATAACGACGACGACGATGATTACGACGACGACGATGACGACGACGACAGCAAGCGATGTCATAACTGGACTTGGGTTTTGTTTTTCATTACATGTTGATTTTTTTCCCTTTTCGTTGAAATAGTTGAAGTTGTACTTTGATTAGTTGAATTCGTAGAGATACTATGTGGTAAATATTGTCATCAGATTGAAATTCATTACATGTATTTTCTGTTGTTTCATAAATATCATTCAAATTTGGTTCAATATCAGTTACTTTTGGCATTAGTATCGCTGTCAGAGTTATTTAACTCTATGTTCTTGGTTATTATCATTGAATGACAGATAGGGTTGTTAATGGAGCGGAGTGAATTAGGTTCATATTATAGTGAAGCAAGGGGTCAATCAAATTGAACCCGCTCCGGGTTCATTGTTTTGGTGGTTTTGCTCCAACCAGTGATGGTAAATGACCTCAAATGACATCGAAATGACCTAGGTCATTGGTTATTAGGTCATTTGTCATGTGATTTATTTTTCAACCAATATGGGTTCAGTGACTCATTTTTAAGTACATGTACCAGTGAAGACAAAAACGGGCAGATCATGTGATCCCGATCCCGATGCCGACCATCCAATATCCCCTTAAAATTATGCACCAATCAAATCGCAAGATCAATGTGCAACGCAAAAATTCAAAACAAATGTTTATTTTGAAAAATAGCTTATATATATCTTAAAATTTTGCATATGAAACTATCTTTTGTGCTTTAATAAAAAATGTTTCTTGCGAAATTTTACTGTATATTAGACTCAAGTTTGCTATACAATAACCTTGACTCTAAATCTAAACCTAACCCTAATCGAAATTCTATTTAATATTATGCATTATAATTTAAGGGGATATCGGATGGTCGGCATCGGGATCGGAATCACATGATCTGCCCTTTTTGTCTTCACTTTGTTACTACGAAATGAAGATATAAAGGCGCGAAATCTCCCAAAGACCAACAACATTCGAATTGTCTCAATGGATCAAAACAGCAGCATTCTACAAAAAGAAGTTGTAACCTCTATTCTTCGCTTAACACGGCTTCTGCAGAATCATCGATTTAACGGGGCTCTCGACATGACTACCGAACAGGTATCGTCAGCAAAAAATGGAGATCTACATACGATGAATCTCGATGCTAACGAACACGTGACCTAAGAAAAGGGGCGTGGATCAGCCGAGCCGACCCAAGTCGAAAATTCGTGATTGAAATAAATAACATGCCCAATGAAGAATTAGAGTTAGTATACCCGTTTACCCCAACCGACGATTGGATGGAACGGATCAAGGCCGTTTTCGTTGATATCGATCGACAAGGCCGAAACGACCGACTGCTTCTCCAAAGATACTATAGACTCGGGAAATTGTTCGAAAACGTACCTCGGAAATATAATCGGAACCTACAAAAAATCAAATTCGAGTTAAAACGCGAGCATAAAGTTCGAAATCCCGACCGCCTCCATCAAATTGCCAAACGGACATACCAAATGTTTAGTATTTGTGGAATCGCCAAAATAAGCAAACATTTGACTCTAACACCCAACCAAATTATCAGGTTGAAGATTTCGGAAATCGACGAAATTAGACAGCAAATTTGAGTTCTCGTCGGAGCTCGATTTTATTGGTGGGGAAGTGTTACGTGATTTTGTGTTTCTATTAAAAAGGAAGGATTTTCCTATAAACGGTGGTTTTTGGGAGAGCAAGAGTTTTGGACGACAATTGGTGTTGCCTGTGCCGATATCTACGGATATCGTATTTGACGTTGGACTTGGGGGGTAAGTATATATTAAGATGTTGCCTTTGTTTAATAATTTCTAAGCCTATTTTGGTTTTCAATTATCTACAGCTATTTCGCGTTTCTTTACCAAGATCGATTACCGTCATCGATCTTCTAACGATGCATTTTCTGGATTAAGGTCCTAACCGTCAGCAAATTCAATCAATTACTACGAGGTGATTTTACAAGTCTTATTTTACTTGGAGAATAACTGTACGCAACAATTCAGATATTTTGTTGAGGCCCATAGACCTTTCTTATATACATTTTTTTTAGGTTACGTATAATTTATTCTTATAAGACTATTAAGATAAAAGAATAATGCGATTCAGAGAGGAAAATAAAGAAAAATATAATTAAGCGTTTTGTCCAAGAGAAAAGTATTACTTTTGAGGACTTGTTTCTAATCTAATTCTAATAACTACAATACATATTGCTTTTATATACATCCAAACTATATTTCAACAGCTATATGAATTTATGTTTGCTAGTTCACTTAAATTCTATTGGTTTTATTCTTTCATTCATTCACTTGTTCATTTGTTCATTGTTCATTTCACATAATTAGATTCTTCTAATAAAATATAAGATATAATCCAATAATATTAAGTATGAATGATCCAGTAAAATATTTAATCAAAGTTCATTATACAACATTATAAAAAACATATGTATTTTAATAATTTTTTATTAAAAGAATGATTATTAAGTTATACAATAATATTATACCATACACTATTTTTTCCTTATTATTTATTTATATTGATTATTTCAAACTCTACTGAAAATTTATCACAAATTCCATTATAAATTACATTGTAAATTTCACTGTAAATTATACTGTAGATTCTACTATAAATTATAGCATAAATTCTATTATAAATTCCACTATAAAATATACTGTAATTTATATTATATAAATTATACTGTAAATTACATTATAAATGAAAAATCAACAATATATAATATGACAGAAAATTGACAATAATGCAATAAAAAATAATTACTTACTTGTGTATAATAAGTTTTTATAGTGTCTTTTCATTTTCTATTCCAATAATTAATTCATTATTATAAAAAAATTTGTTATTTTGATCTGAAAAAGTGAGATACTTACAATTTAAAGTATTTATTACATTAATTTAAAAAAGTAAAATAATTATTTGATAACTATAACAATTATGATTTAAAGAGTTCATACTTTTGGTTCAGAAAAAGTAAATATATTATTAATATTTGTGAAATATGTAAATGAAACCAAATTAATAATTGAATATAACAATATTTGAAGATATTGACATAGA